GTTCCAGTCAGATAAACAGCAGTCAGTGACAGAGACAGACACAGATGAAGCTGAAAAACAGCTCATTAGTCAAAAATACCAAGTAAGTTTATGTCATTATTTTGTTGTGGAGTTTATTCAAGCTTTTCTGTAACAATGAGTCACTCACAAATGTTGTTTGCAGTATACACCCCCCCCACACACACATGTTAGCGTTTACTGACACCATATAGCCATTAGAGATGCGCCGATCAGCTGAAATGACCCTCGAATTCGCGGCTTCATACTAATCATACACCCGCCCGCACATATAGTTTAATCTGATATTTGTATCCGCACCCAACCCGAAATAATTTATTTATTTGTTTTAGGCATGATGATAGGTCACCGTTGATATTAACAGCAGATTCAGTGAGCTATAATCTGCGCATCTCTAATACTAAAATAAAACGTTAATCTTTTAAACATTTTAAATTAACATTTATTTATTAAAAACAAATGTTTGTCTTTAGACAACATTTTCTTTATTTTCAAATAGATACAGAAAGTAAAAATAAGATATTTTAGGTCAAAAAGGGTGCCACCTATGTTGTGTTTACTTGGCCTTTTTCTTTGCATTGTGGAAAAACAAAACAGCATCTACTGTGCCTAAATTTCGCCTCCAAAACACGGCCAGCTGCACTAAATGAACAAGATTCTCATCGCAAGGTGCTGCAGTCGTGTACATAAGTGACCTTGTTTCTTCCAGAATGATAGCAGATTTTCTTCTGAGGACTCCTCTAACTGAAAGTTTGAACAGTATTCTTGCACTTCATCCATTATTTTGGCCGTCTCATCTTCCCATTCTGCAAAGCCCGCTCTCGGCTTTTTTTCACCGGTCCACTACCATGTCCCTCTACATCCACCTTCAACCCACCCGCAATTAATCATAATGTATTTTTTATTACCTGACCCGTGGATTATCTGCAGTGCCCGTGGGTATAACCACCATCCACACATCACTAATGGCCATGGTGATTATAGAGGTTAAGAATTAAATAGCAATTTTACTGTCTTTATTACAAACATGCTCTGTTTTATAAACTTTTTAAACTAATAAACTTCACACAGAGTTGTAACAGATATTTTAATCCTAGTTTCTTTGAAAAAATTGTTCTGTGGACATGTGTATACATGTATTAAACAAGGCACCTGTCAATCAATTCATTGGGCGGGGAAAACTGCACTTCTACATCATGCTGCGGTGGGCCTCAAAATGACATTTCTCAAAATGGATTTGAGTCCTACTTAAACATCAGGAAATTGAAAAAAAAAAAAAAAAGAGACTTGTTCAATCAATGTGCAGTTAATGTCAGAATTATTAGCCCTTCTGTTTTTTTTTCTTTTTCAAATATTTCCTAAATGATGTATAACAGAGCAATGAATTTTTTACAGTATTTCCAATATTATTTTTTCTTCCGGAGAATGTGTTTTTTGTTTGTTTTTTTTCCCGATTTTTTTTTTTCTATTTCAAAAACTAAAGCAGTTTGTATTTTTATTTTTTTAAACCATATAAAAGTCAAAATTATTTGCCCAAAAAGCATTTTTTTTTTCAATTGTATAGAGACTATTTGTCTATAAACTATGGTTATACAATGCTTTGCTAAATTACCCTAACTTGCCGAACCTAAAGCATTTAAATTGAACTTTAAGCTAAATATTAGTATATTAAAGATATATAAAATAAACCAGTTATTTGAAATGAGTTATTAAAACTATTCTGTTTAGAAATATGTTGAAAAACAAAATTTTCTTTCCGTTAAACAGATATTTGGGCGGAGATGGGGGATATACAGGGGGATTAATTCAGGAGGGCTAATAATTCTGACTTTAACTGTAAATATCACAATAAATGTCAAATCTCTCATCAAAGTTTAAAGACAGATTGTTTTGTTACAGAGTGAAAAAAATTAAAAAGAACTTTTTTCCTGACAAATTTTGTCAATCTATAAAAAAAAATAAAGCTTCAAATTTCCACTATTTGAGAACCTCAAAATCGTCCCACCATGTAAATAGTATGATTTACACTAAACTAAAACCTCAAATTTAAAGCTAAATGCCGACTACTTACAGCTATTCGCTCTGACCAATTAGATTTTTATCACAAACCAGGAAATGACCGCTCTGAACCCGGATTGAGGAAATGTCCACTATTGTCAATTTTCATTCATTTTCTTTTCGACTTAATCCCTTTTTTAATCAGGGGTCGCCACAGCAGACTGAGCCGCCAGATTATCCAGCATATGTTTTACACAGTGGATGCCCTTCCAGCTGCAACCCATCACTGGGAAACATCCATACACACTCATACACTACGAACATTTTAGCTTACGCAATTCACCTGTACCACATGCTTTTGGACTTGTGGGGGAAACAGGAGCACCCGGAGGAAACCCACGTGAACACAGGGAGAACATGCAAACTCTCACAGAAATGCCAACCAGCAACCTTGTGTGAGGCGATTGTACTCATTATGGTTAATATTCAAAAGATAAATAAAACCCTGCTCACTCAGAACGTCCGAGGACAGGTATGCCAGACGGTCAACTTCTCTCAGGGCTGTAAAACTAGCCCAAAAGTCTGACACAATAATTAGCTTCCCATCGCACAAAATACTTCAGTTTAATTATATCCACTGAGGGCCATTAGCAGGGGAGAAATTGCGCTCGCAAGAGTTAAAGACGTATTTTACACACCTCACCTGAAAGGTAAACGCTCACCCCTGCTAGCTTTCTCTCGCTCGGAGGATCTGCTCCGCTCATCTATAACACAAACACCATAATGCCTTCACTCATATAATGACGGCGTTCTGTTTGTAAGTGACTACAGTTTGAGAGTTCCCTCGAGAGACTTTTAAAACTAAAGGGAAATGGCTAAAACAAATGTGGGCCTTTAGTAGGAAACTGCTGGGAAGCGAATTCAATGTTACACTCTCAGAAATAAAATCTGTTGCTGGCATGGTAGTCTACTCTTTCGAGAAGTAGACCACTAATAGCCCAAGTACAATTTAGATACAAAATACGAATATGCTCCATTTAGGGAAATGTTTCGTAGTTTTTTTTCACTAATAGTTAAACTCAATAGCAAGGTTAAATAAATATTTACTAATTTAACAAATTAAGGTGCGCACAGCATATTTTTTAAAAGTATTTTATATATTTTTAAGTAAATACAAAATTTAACTGGGCAAGGCTCAAAAGAAAGATTTATTACGAATTTCATTTTATTTTTTTTTCAATTATTTATTTACATTTACAAATATTATTTTATTATTTAAACAAATAAAGAAAAAAGATAATAACATTTTTAATAAATAAAATTGCAATTACATAGTTTTTAAAATCATATATTTATATATCTATATAATATCTATATATAATTTCAAGATGAGTCAGAAAAACTATTGGAAAGCTGTGCTAAGTAATTAAAAAAATTGTTGCACAAGATTCAAATGTCAAGATTAAGAATTTATATATATATACACACACACACACACACACAAATATTCTTTTATTATTTAAATAAATCACTGAAAAAGAATATAAAGAAACAAATAAAAGGAGATTAAATAGCTTTTTTCATAAATATATACAGTTGAAGTCAGAATTATTAGCCCCCTGTTTATTTTTGATTTTCTGTTTAATGGAGAGAAGATTTTTTCAACACATTTCAGACTCTTCTATACAGCTTAAAGTAACATTTACGGCTATATATATATATATATATATATATATATATATACTGCCTGACAAAAGTTTTGTCGCCAATCCAAGTTTTAGGAACAGCAAATAATAACTTCTAGTTATTCTACTTGACTTCTAGTTGATCGTTTGGTATCAGTAGTGGCTTATATGAAAGGCAAAGGCCTCTAGATTATGCTTATTTTACCAAAATAATATATGATCATGCCTTGATTTTTAATTATTTAATTAGGACAGTAAGGTTTGACTTTGCTTAGACAAAAGTCTTGTCACGTAACAGAAATAATGTAAAGTATAGAATATAAAGTCATACTGCAGTGGAAAAAGAGTTAATATTGTGTCTGACTCCCATGAGCTTGGAGGACTGCATCCATACATCTCTGCAATGACACAAATAACTTATTAATAAAGTCATCTGGATTGGCAATGAAAGTGTTCTTACAGGACTCCCAGAGTTCATCAAGATTCTTTGAATTCATCTTCAGTGCCACCTCCTTCATCTTACCCCAGACATGCTCTATAATGTTGAAGCTGGGAACTGGGCTGGCCAATCCTGGAGCACCTTGACCTTCTTTGCTTTTAGGAACTTTGATGTGGAGGTTGAAGTATGAGTAAGAAACGCTATCCTGCTGAAGAATTTGCCCTCTCCTGTGGTTTGGAATGTAATGGGCAGCACAAATGTCTTGATACCTCAGGCTGTTGATATTCACATCCACTCTGCAGATCTCTCACAAGCCCCAATACTCAATGTAACCCCAAACCATGATTTTTCCCTCACCAAATTTGACTGATTTCATGGGTTCATGCAGGTTTCAATCGGTCTTCTGCAGTATTTGTGATGATTGGGATGAATAATCATTCAACAACTGATTCGTCAGAAAACTCCACTTTTCCAAATGATCAATATATAATATAATATTAATATAATATTTCGAAAAAAATACAAAGATTTTTCTAATATTTATTTTGAAATGTATATATAATGCATATATAATATAAATTTCAAAAGATTAATTAGAAAAATCTTTGTAAATGTTTTATTTTATGTAAAACTTTTAAAATAGTATTTTTTTACGTAAATACAAATTTAATTATGCAAGGTTAAAAAAAAGAAAATAAAATGTCAAGATTAAGACTTTCCTCCATATGTATACATATATATATATATATATACACATTATTTAAATTTAAAAGAAATATGAATAAATAACTGAGGACAAAATAAATGATTCAAAACATTTAATAAATAAAAAAGAGAATAAATTAACAAAATAAATATCAGTGAACTAATTATTTCGAGGTACAAAACATCCAAAAGTGTTCTCAAATCTGAATGTGGCTGAATCAGGCATGCTGCCAGGCCAAACCATTTTGCTTTACTTTCAGCTCATGGACAAAACATACGAACTGCCATCTTTTCGCCATTCTCTAATCTGGCACACAAGCACAAGTGCCACAGCTTTGTCCCTATAAGGCCTCATTCAAAACAAACAACATGCGTCTGGATAAGCAAAAGGAGGCTTGTTTGTAACCCACAACAAATTAGAATATAAAAAGTGTCCCGAGTGCCAGGAGGTGTAACACGGTGAGAAGTCTGCAGATGTCACCAATCGTCACGCCATGAAGAGGAGCGTGAGAAGCGAGAGGCGGCATCTCTTTTCGCTGGCCCACTTCACTGCTAATCCCACTTTATCCAAGAGAGCCGAGCTGTCAGATCTGGAGTCGGAGAACACAAAAGCAGAGCAAACATGAGGCTTAAGATACATTTTAATGACCCTTTAACAAGTCGCTGGTCTAAGGCTAACAAAGGCACACTTATTCATTAAAATCCTCCCCCCTCGAAGAGCTGGACCCCTGGGATGTGGTTAACTAAAGTACTCAGCTCCCTTTCAGCTGGGTGAAAATACTTGTGCCTTAGAAAAGGAAGTTTTTCAGAAGAGGATTGGACAGCTGGGAACAAACTGCACAGTCAGTATGAACAATAGGAACTGTTTAAGCATGTAAAACAACGCCTGTTTGAATGACCTAAGCCCCTTTGAGGACCTATTTGCATATGTACTTGTAATAAATAAGTAATTTACCTCATATGCCCCAAAAAACAAGGGGGAAACATTTGTGAGTGTTTTGGTAAATATCCAGGCTGTTCCTAATACTTTAAAGTGCTGGTTTAAATGAATAAACTCACAGCTGTGACAGTGTGATTGCGTAAATGTTTGATCTTATTTTCCTGTCATGTTTTTAATATGGTCAAAGTTGTTTTTTCCTCAAACCAAAGAGAAATTTAATGGGGTTTTTTCCATACTGGAATGAATTATTTAAGCTATTGCTTGATTTTGAGCCTGTTTTTGTACTTATTTTAGGTCATATCCATCAATAATAATATTCTAAAGTACATTAAACATCTCTTTTTATGTTCTGTAATATGTTTGTTTTGCTCTTTCTTTTCAGTCAAACACAAGCTAAATGTGATTCGTCTTCAGGAGTCAGATTGGCAACAGGCTCATTCTGAAATGTAGCCCTATATCCATTTCTGGAGATCACAAATTATGTTGCCAGAGGAACCAGCCTGATCTCACGAGGAAACGTAAGTATTTTACGCTTTGTCAGTTCAGTGGCTAATTCGTACGAGTTTAGTCGTACGAAAATGTACGATTTAAAAAAGGAGGCATGGCGGCTAACCCCACCCCTAACCCCAACCGTCATTGAGTGATAAGAAAATTGTACTAAATTGTATGAATTAGATCATACGAATTCATACGAATTAGCCACTAAATCAAAAAGTTACGAATTGAGATTGTGAGATTGTGTTGGAGGGACATACGGCTTCATTTTGTCTTTAAAACGAACACTATGGGGTGGTATGATGCCGTTCCTTTTTTTGATTACCAGTTTGTCCAGTGACTTGTTGCATACGTGTGAGAATTTGAGACGCAGAGTTGACTATGACGACGTGGTTCGAGTCTGGTGAAAAACGGTTCCAGAAAGCAGGTAAGACAAAAGCCAAAAAATGAAATCAACAAGTAAATAACAGAGTGAGCATGTGGCACAATCTGAAAATGTGGTTAAAAAAAATCAGGCTGCCGTGGGGGCTTTTCTTTTTCTGGGTTGCTTTTTAAAACACTATCGATTGGGTTTAGAAAAGGAAGAGTTTGGGTCAGTTGATTGTTCAGTCAGTCAGTCAACAGCGGCCTCTAATGGATTTACGTGAGAAGTTCAGGTGCAAATAGAACTCACAAGAGAAATTTGAGATCTCAAAAAGAATACACAGGTGGACGCGCGAAAACAAAAACTGCAAAAAACGTAGCTGAAAACATACAACTTCAGAATGAGCCTGGGTTCCAGATTTTTCATGATATACACCTTATTTAGTTTGATTTTCAGATATTTACTGCACTGCTCATTTTTTCAGAAGTGCTAAATCCCATGGTCTTTTTCCCGTTTAGTTGTTAAATGATTATTAGTTATGACCCAAACCAAATTGTTTATATTGCTAGGTTTTGTATTACCATAGCAACTAGAATTAACAAATACATTAGTTAAAGTTCTTTGCTATACATTTGAAAAACACGATTGTATTTACTATAAATTAGTTTTAGGATGTTTGTTTTTCAGGTAGAAAATTGCATTTTTACCAAACCATATAAGTGTATTGCAACATATACATATACAATTGAAGTCAGAATTATTAGCCCCTGTTTGTTTTTTACCCCAATTTCTGTTTAACAGAGATATTTTTTTTCAACACCTTTTTAAACATAATAGTTTTAATAACTCATTTCTAATAACTGATTTATTTTCTCTTTGCCATGATGACAGTAAATAATATTTGACCAGATATTTTTCAAGACACTTCTATACAGCTTAAAGGGACATTAAAAGGTTTTACTGGGTTAATTAGGGTAACTAGGCAGGTTAAGTTAATTAGGCAAGTTATTGTATAACAATGGTTTGTTCTGTAGACTACTGGAAAAAATATAGCGAAAAGGGGTTAATAATTTTGACCTTAAAATGGTGTTTAAAAAATGGAAAACTGCTTTTATTCTAGCTGAAATAAATCAAATAAAACTTTCCCCAGAAGAACAAAATATTATCAGACATAATGTGAAAGTTTCTTTGATATTTCAGAAAACAGAACTGAGTCATTATTTCTCTGTTTGGTTTAATGATAGTTTAAACTGAATATATCAATCGTCATTAACAAACGGGTCATATGCACTTCATGTTGCATGCTATTAAAATGTATATTAACACTTTACATTAAAATTGTATAAGAAATAGCTTATGCTTTCATTTATTCATCACATAGCATAAATTTTGATTTTAATAATGCATTAGAAATGTAAATGAACTATGATTAGTAAATGATACACTGTAAAAAAATGCAGGATTCAAGTATGGTTCATCATTAGTTTGTGTTAGTAATACATCAACTTACATTGACTATAATGAAACCTTACTGTAAAATGTGACCCATATCAAATATAGCCCACAGTTGCGATCAGAATTATTAAATTCCCTTCGATTTTTTTTTCTTTTTTTAAATATTTCCCAAATGATGTTTAACAGAGCAAGACAATTTTCTTAGTATGGCTATTAATATTTTTTCTTCTGGAGAAAGTCTTATTTGTTTTATTTCAGCTAGAATAAAAGCAGTTTTTATTTTTATTTTTTAAACTATTTTAATGTCAAAATGATTAGCTCTTTTGGGCTGTATATTTTTTGATAGTCTAAAAAACAAACCATCCTTATACAATAACTTGTCTAATTAACCTAACCTGCGTAGTTAACCTAATTAACCCAGTTAAGCCTTTAAATGTCACTTTAAGCTGTATAGAAGTGTCTTGAAAAATATCTGGTCAAATATTATTTACTGTCATCATGGCAAAGATAAAATAAATCAGTTAGAAGAAAAGAGTTATTAAAACTATTATGTTTAGAAGTGTGTTGAAAAAAATCTCTTCATTAAACAGAAATTGAGGAAAAAATAAATGGGGGCTAATAATTCAGGAGGTTTAATAATTCTGATTGTAACTGTATGTAATGCACATAATACAATAATAATAAGACTGTATATTGCATATAATACATTGATAAGTGTTTTACTTTGATTATATGTAAAAGTATTGTCTATTATTAGTTTGTGTTAGTAATTAATTAACTAACATTATAAACATATATTATCTAATGAAATATATATATATATAAAGAGAGAGAGAGAGAGAGAGAGAGAGAGAGAGAGAGAGAGAGAGAGAGAGAGAGAGAGAGAGGTTAAATGCAAAACCCTCCAAATGCCGTCTGAAATTTTTATCATGCTGAACCTAATTCTCAGCCTCCTTTGTTTATGTTGAGTTAATACTATAAAAAATGACCTACTCTTTGCCATAAAATTTATATTACTGAACCTACTGTATACACGCAGGAGCTTGGAAAAAAAAATCCTCATTTTGGAAGTAACTTTCAGGCGGCATTTAGAGGTTTTTGTATCTGAACTCTTCACATATAATAGTCTCAGCCTGTATATTGCACAAATATTTACCGCTTGTGTTCCAGATGGCATTTGTCTGATTCTTATAGCCGTTCTTCATGCATTCGTCCACATATGATTTGGGGTCACAGCCTGATAGGAGGATTTCCCTGAGCAGGGCGATGTAAGCGATGGCCAGTCTTAGCGTGTCTATTTTGGACAACCTTTTCTCGTAGGGGAAGGTGGGCACGTGGCAGCGCAGCTCCTCAAACGCAGAATTAATGCTCAGCATCCTCTTCCTCTCACGGATGTTGGCGGCGTGGCGCTGCACCTTGTACGGATGATGCGTCGCCAAGCACCGCTGCTGCTGCTGGGTCATCTCATGGGGCTCGTCCAGTAAGGAGCTGTCCACTTCAGCACCGACCTCCAGCTGCGGAGACTGCGAGTCTAAATCCGTGAAGGTCAGCTGAGCCTCGGGAAACACCGACTGGCACCCGTAAGAGGACCAGGGGGAAAGCTGGCCCGCCATTGCTCCGCAGTCAAACAGCAGGGTGTCCAGCTGAGAGTGAATCTGGGGGAAACTGGGGTCCATTTGGCCCCAGAACGCAAAGTCTGTGGATGCATCTTGAGCATCGAAATCAAAAAACAAGTCTTCCATATTTATTATTTCTGTTTCTTCTTCAGATGCTGTGCTCTAACTAGGCACCGTGTGTAAACTGGCCAGGCTATGGAGTATAATAGGCATTAAATAGCCCCAGGTCTCTCCGCAGGGGTGCTTGTCTCTATTCAACAGGTCTGAAAAGGAGCTCATTAGGGCGCGTGTCTCCTCCTAATGACTCTCTGGCGTTTCTAAAGCGCTGGATGGTTGATCAGTTGATGCTCAGAGCAAGTATCCAATCATAAAGTTATCTTAACCTGCTATATAGTCGGTTTTATATATAGACGACTAATATTTGTTGCACCAACTGGACGCTCTTTTTGAGTATTTGCTTCATGTCGTTGGATTGTTAGTTAAGCGGTCTGGAGACACGGGTGGGTGGCCGAAGTCCAAAACACCTGTTTTAACTTCGTGTTAAGATGAGATTAATTGCTTTAATATATACAATTAAATAAATGAGAAATAAATTATTTAATGAATAATCTCATGGTCATCTCATTTGGTTTAGTCTCTATTTTAGAGGTCGCTACAGCCGAATTAACCGCCAAATATTCTATATTATATTATAAAGTGTTTTACGCAGCGGATACCCTTCTAGCCGCTACCCTTGAAAAACACCCATACACACACAGGCACTCATACAATTCAGTTTATGTATATGTACATACTTAGGCCTTATTATCACGTTTACTTCAGTAAGACTATTTAATTTCGTCTTTGCATTATTGTTTAATAGCTAATATTAAATAGATTTTTTTTTAAATAAAAAGTATGTATTATGACATCCTGTATTGTAATAACTAGCCTAACAAAATTAGTTTATACATTTGAATAGTCATTTTTTTTGCAGTGTTGGGTTGCGGCTGGAAAGGGTATCCGCTACATAAAACATATGCTGGATAAGTTGAAGGTTCATTAATTCCGTTGTGGCGACCCCTGATTAATAAAGGGACCAAACCGAAAAGAAAATGAATAAGTGAAATAGGCCTATTTTATTAAAATATGTACATGCAACATGCAAACTCCACACAGAAATGCCAACTGGCCGAGCCAGAATTCGAACCAACGACCTTCTTGCTGTAAGGCAACAATTAAATTAAAATTTGAATTAAATTAAAATTTTAATTAAAATTAGATTCATTAAGTGAAGAATTGCAACAACATTTTGCATGTTTCATTAATTAAAATATTTTATTTCATGCAATTAGCAAGCGATAGGTTTGAAATAACTGCGTTGTTTGACAAATACAGTTACACACTGCAGGTAGGCCTAATTATTGATAATTTGTTAATATTACTTATGAAATATAAATGTAAAAATTTAAAATAAAGCCTGCATGCCTTAGAGAAACAAATACGTGCTTTCTCGATATTATTTATTTGTCAATTTGTAATAGAAACGTTGTACGAAAAAAGTTAAAACTAAATTAATAAGTGCAGCTTATGTTTTCATAACATGATCACAGAAATCGGATCGTTGACGGAAACGAAATAATACACATTTTTCTTCAATGTAATCGTAATTTATCTCCTAAATGACACTGATTTTTAGTAATGCTACAAAAAGTTTTTGGCGCCATGTCAAAATGTCTAAAGAAACACTTTAATACAAAAGCCCAATCAATGTGTTTATAATTAAAATCCGCTGCACAATGCTTTTATTTGTCCCGAATTAGACGCTAGTCTAATACAGAGAATCGTACCAGGCTTTTATAAAGGAATTGTGAAGTGGATTGCGAGGAACGGCTTGTCAGAACCTTCTGCTCTACAGACAGCAGGCAGCCTGACACTGAAGAATACTGCTGTCAGATGCAGAGATCCAGCCATTCTTCACCTCACAACAAAACCCTCAACTACTCCTTTAGACTTGGAAAGACCATAGGCTACATTGGAGAGCTTGTAAATCTTCACATCCTTGTTCCAAATTGAAATGGTCAATCTAGAACAAAATCTGTGCTGACTTAAAACAAGACACCGAATTGACTCATGTGGTCCTTGAGTCCAGTGCAACATCTGTGTATGATTAGTCTCTGTTTTACGTTTTTTCATCTTGGAAGTTGTTTGCTGTGTAATATGACATTTTCTAAAAATCCATAATTAAAACCAAAGGTTGTGTTCGTCAACACCTTGTTTTCAATAGGCTTTGTCTTATACACGGGCATGATACTATACACCTGTCATAAATAATATGACCAGACCAGAGTAGGCCTATGCAGAACATTTGAAAAGATTTTTTTTCTATGAAGACCACAAGCTATTGTTTTAAAATGACACTCGTTTGATAACTCTAAATTCACAGTAAAAACTATACCTCTAGCTTTAACTGCCCCATCAAGAAAAAAAACGCATAGCATTTTTTAATGTCGCTAGTTGACACAATCAATGCATTTTTACACATCCAATAATTGCTAAAATATCAACCTCTAACTAATGCTCAATAAGTCGGTTTATGGTAAAAGTATCGTAATTTATACATATGATTATATAACGTGTGAGAACAATTAAAGCATAATCAAAATAAAACATTTTTAAATATCATAATTTAAGAAATATATATCTTTAAAATACTTCAGATTGTTCTTTAACATGTTTTCTTTTTTTTATTACAATAAAACCAAAATCAAGTGTAGTACGATAAAATTAAGTGTATTATGTTTACCAACAATGCTGTGTATATAAACCATTATTTAATATATAAAACAGTCATTCTTTAAATGACTTTAACAGTCATTATTTAAAACAGTCAAAATATGGTCAACCATTTTTGTAGAGCAGGCAGTTAAAGGGATACTTGTCACTTTAAAGTGATAAAAAAAATGCTCAACATGGCAGTTGTAAATAATTATTATCATTGTGCAAGTCTGTTTTTTAATTAATTGAATTTAGCAGCAACGATGCTAAAAATATATTATAAAGACCCTTTGCAGTTCGAAGAAGTGAATCAATAATGATTTAATGCTTAGGTTAATCATAACATTAGCATTATTTGGCGCGAACATTCCAAATGAAGCTGATGCAAGGAGCTTTTACAGGAGCAGGGCTCTATTTTGACGGTCCATGCGCAAAATGGAAAGCACAAGGTGCAAATGCATTCAGGGCGTGTCAGAATCTATATTTTCTAATATAAGGACGGAAAAATCAGCTTTGCGCCATGGCGCATGGTCTAAAAGATTTGAGTTTATTTTCTTAATGAGTTATAGGTGTGTTTTGAGAATAAACCAACCAGAGTCTCATCTCCCATTCCCTTTAAGAGCAAGCTACTTCATGCCATAAGCATTTGCTATTAGTTCACTTTCGCTTTTGCTCTCGTGGGGAAACCTTTATGCACAGACATCAATTGGCCTATAAATAATTAATTTCCTTTGTTAAGCCCAAAGATTTGTTTCAAAACTATTTCTAAATTCAGTTCTAATTTCCAGCAAACAAATAAGTAAACAATACTAATAAAGTGTGTTAAAAAAACCCTAATACACATGCTGTGCCCCATATGGTCTTAAACCTGACAGGTGGGCAAATCTAAGGTTGTTTTTAATAAAACAAAAATAAATATGCATATAATAAATAATGATGCTAATAAGAATAACATTACATAGGCAAATTGTCAGGAATAAATTGAAAAAGCCCCTGAGAAGAAGACATTAAAGTATGGTTTTTATATTTATGTAGGCTAGAAAATAATATGTTTTGTAATATTTTAATACTTTATATTTATATCTTTATTATATCCTATATACATCCTTAATATTTTAATTCTTTTTCATATAAGATATTTGCGTATTGCTCTTTATCTTGTGTATTAAGCAGTGTGTAAGCGAGGCGCACAACTTATGTGCTCTGCGCTGGACTTTAGACCGGCTTTGTTCTGGTCTAAAGAAAAGTCTATTATAGTTTCTCAAAATAGCAACTAGCCAGCAATGCGCCTCAACACGCCTTCCTTTTTAAATCAGAACGCCTATGGGCACACATACGAGCGCAAATGCATTTACTATTTGAACAGCGTGGTGCAAAAAGTCAAAACGTCAAAAAGTCAAAACTAGCAAACAACAATTGCATCGTGCCTTGCGCCACTTTGCGCTGGGTTGTATGATAGGGCCCTTTGAGTTTTGATTTCTCCATTTGCGTGTTTACTACTGTAAACAATAAAAAGCTGAGTTTGGTTGAAGCTTCAGTGGTTGAAGTTGTGCCAAATTGTTTTGAAAAAGTATGTGTAAGTGACAAACAGTCAACTTAAAAAAAAGAATCGGCACAACTTTAACCACTGAATAAACTCAAAATTTCTTTGCAGCTGGTTACTTAAAAATAATGTTAACTCAGCTTTTTATTTTTTACAGAGTACTGGTATCTGTTGTAAATAACTGTAGTATCAAAAACAACTTTTTTGGGGTGAAAATGGTGTTTGGTCCACTGAAGTAACTGCAGATAAGAGCTATAATAGCTCCAGTCACATGTCAGACATGCTCTGCTGTGTTTAAAAGGCATGAGACGTGATTGTTCTGCGCTGTTTACCTCAACACACTCGGAGAACAATCAGTTTTATCAGTGCTTGGTGATTATACACTTTGAACTCTCCTCTAAGTGACTGGGGTCACGGTCAACTTAGATTACTGCAATGCATTTGTTTACTGCTCTTGTTTTTACTCTCACTGATTTTGTTTTTCAATGCAAAGCTTTCAGTGCCCTTGCTAATAAGCCATAGTGTTTGGCAGGCTACGCAGACCAGAACAACTGAATGTGTCTACACTAATCTCTGGTCTAGTGAACACGTACAGGTTTTGAGCAAGAGGAATCAAATGTAAATGATGTTGTTTAATCATTGCGAGTCGAGGTGGGTGTCCTGCCAAAGCCAATTGTTGTTCAGGGTATATACTCACAGAATGACCTCAGTGTTAAAGGGGTTGTTCATCCAAAACTGAAAGTTCTGTCTTTGTTTACTCACCCTTCACTTTTCACAAATGTGTTTGAGGTTTGTTCATCTGATGAACAGAAAAGAAGATATTGTAAAGAATGTTGCAAACTATTGGGAAGTCAGTGGTTACCGGCTTTTAACATTTTTCTAAATATCTTAACTTGAAAACTATTTTTAAAAGATAATGTTTTTTTTGCTGGTATTACGGACATAAGTGTGGTCTATCAATATCGGGTTGTATTTAAAAAAATGTATAACAACTTTAAAATAATTTCACTTTAAACAAAAGTTGCACATTGCTACTTTTGACCCCAAAGGTAGAGACAAAAGTAACACACGAGGGCGTCAAAATACACAATAATATTTGCTAGATTTACTGGCTTAATCTTGTTTATTTTGAATATATCTGACTAAGACCTTGTAAATGTTCACTGCAAACATATTTTATCCTTTATTTAAAAAAAAAAAAAAAAAAAATATATATATATATATATATATATATAT